AAAACGAGCTTGAACTTTTCATTTGGTACTTTCCCTGGCTGTCGACAAATAGCCGCTCGAAGGTGTCGATTTCGCCGCATTCTAGCCTCTTTAAGGGCACTTACTAAGAAGGCCAAATCTGCTTGACTTTGGCTTTGACGAAAGTCATTTTCAAGCCAAACTAACTGGATTTGTTGGAAAGTCACTGTTTAAAAGGACCAGAGCGCGTCATTTGGAGTGCAACGTAGCAATCGAGGCCAAGGCGATGACGTATAGGCTATATTCGTGCTTTATAGCCTCTTTAAAGGTACTTAGAAGTCAGGAACTCTCAGATTTTTAACTAGACGCTGAGTTAAACACAAATCTAGCGCGATTTAGTCAAGACAAAGGCGTATGGAGGGCCATCAAAAAGCGCTGTCATTCGAGCGTTGCGTAGCTGTCGAGGCCCAGCCGAAAACTGGGTCGATTTTGGCGCTTTCTAATCCTTTTAAAGGTAGGATCCGATCGATTTCCGCTTTTAAAACGCCAAATTCATCGAAACGTTCTAGTTTCATGTTTACCACCCCATTTTCCCAATTACTCGCCGAAATTTAGGACAAGCCGACGATCATCGACCGCCTTTTCGGGGGGCATTCCGGCTCTCCAATTCCCTCTTGAACCCAGAGTCACCCTCCAACCACTCGATCATCCCCATGTCGATCCGACTACCCATCACTCCAATTTTTTTCGCAAATCAACCCGGCTCAGCCAATCGGCTGTTTATCAGCGCGGATGGGAATCCTTGTGGGTTATCCCGCACGCGAAGTGTCGTTGGTTGCGTATCGTAGTGATGGGCATGTCCCCCCGCGATACCATTCCATTTCCATCCTGTCCACATCCACCCAGAGAACAATCAGCCCTCGTTAAATCCCATCAATCACCGCGGCTTGACCGAAAAATCGCTCGAAAAAGGGTGAGTAGACTGGGTGAATAGCCATCGTCGGTGAGAACCGTTCATTGGTGGGGGAAATTGGGGGATCAAAAAGATGCGCGGGTCAAAGTCTGGCAGACGATACTACACATAAAAACATTAACACACGGATAATTAGGATAACAAAATAGAACCAAAATGGCAAAATTTAAGCTTCTATCTTCCATTTCTTCGTGACATTGTGCCAAAAAACAACACATCGTTTCTAGCGGGCCCGAGAAGTGTCTGATTTTTACTATTTAGGTACCCATCGGAAGCTCTCGGAAAGATGAGTTCAGTTGTTCTGTCCGATTTTCCAAATGCCTGAATCTTCGTCCGATTTTCAGCAGTTTCCATGTAGAAGGTAAACAAGCGCTTTCTCATAAACACCTAATTTAACCGCGCTAAGCGTCATCCAAGCCGAGTCTTCTGAAACCCTTCTCAAAAGCCTGTAGCCAGCAGAAAAGGCGTAAAAATTCAGTATTAGTGAGTTTTGACAAAAAATTGTGATCGGAAAAGCCTGACTTGAGAAATTCGTGTCGGCTTGCTAAAACTTGCTAAAAAAACTCCACTTGATTTTTTAAAGTCATCCGAATTGCCATAAGTCGCTGTGTGCAGGGCTACTCCCCAAACCGGCGAGGCCAAAAGTTGAGCGCGCCGAACTTATCTTCCGTTTCCGGGGCGATTTCGGAAAACAGAAAACACGCGAAAAAATTGGAAAGCTATCCCGAAAAATCAGGTTTCCCAGCACTCGTCAGCTGGCGGTAACCAGCGATAAAAATTACCTTTCATTATCTTACCTTCATAGTTCAAAACTAAAAGTGTAAAGTGGTTTCCAGTTTCCTTTTGGCACTTGATATTTACTCATAACGAAAGCTAAACCATTTTTATAGCGTTTGAAACAGATTCAGAGATAAAAAGCTCAGAAAAAGGTATGCTATTTTCGACAAATTTACTTTTTGCAGAAAGCTGTATGGAAAGTGGCCAAAAAGCTCGGCATTTTGCATTTCAGAGCAAAAAGCTTCCTAGCAATCAAAAACTGCCAAATTCTTCAAAATCCGTGCTTAAAAACACCTCGTGGTCCATTGGGTACAACCCATCTACTGCATGGAAGTCCTGTCAAACCGATTCACCTATTTTTACCCGCGAGTACCCCCAGATTTTCCCAGGGCTGGTACCCAGATCAAAATTACACGTGTAAAAACAGCCAAAAATTTACACGCGTGGTAAAAAAATTACGCGTCAAATTTACACGTCACTTTTGGGATTTACACGCGTGTAATTGAGTTTTATAAGGGATTTCAAGGAAACATGGCCGAAAATTTACACGCGTGTAAAATTTTTACACGCGTGCAAAAATTCGCAGCCATAGTGGGCCAGGGATGGGCCATGAAGGGTCAATTCTAATCTTTTTTTCGAGTAGTTTTACGCCAGGGAAGGAACCTAAAGCTATTTGTAACGGGTTTCATAGCTTTTTAGCAAAGTGCAGTAAAAGTGGGAAGGGTGTTTTGAGCTGCGTGAAGGCATCTCTAAGGTGAACTGAGTGGGCTAATGACATAAAACTTTCTAAATTCTCGCACTTTCGCCAGTTTCGGGTTCCGTGTGGTATAAAAAGCAAACTGAGCCGATCCAATTAGTTTGGACCAAATATGTGGGCGCGGTTTTTGACGAATTGTCAAAATACGAATGTTACCTACAACGGAAAAACCTTTAAATTTTTAAGTGAGAAAATTACATTCGGAAAAATGGCGAAATCGCGAGAATTTAGAACGTTTTATGTCATTTGACCACTCAGTTTACCTTAGAAATGCCTTCACGCAGCTCAAAACACCCTTCCCACTTCAACACACGTGTAACTGAAATCGGAAATTATATATATTGTTTAATTTCGTTATTTATAATTTGTTTCTTGTTGTTGTTGATTGTTCTCGTTGTCGCTTCGGTCATAAATTTTACATTTGATACGCGCAAAAGATCTACCAACGCGATTTGGCGAGAAATTTTTCACTTGAAATTTTACACGCGTGTAAATTTTTAGGCAAGAAAATTACATTTGGAAAACGTGTGTAAATCGCTCAAAAAAAGGGCCTTCACAAAACGGCATATAAAAAAATTTCCAGGGCACTTAGCGATCCAACTTTTTTTTTGGCTCACTGATGGTACCCGTCTGCAGCTTGTCTCGTTTTAACTTTTCCAAAAAAATATTTTTCCGATTTGCTGGAGGCTTCCCAAAGTTGGCGTGTAAATTTTTGGCGCTCGCGTGTAATTTTTTCGGGTTTTTCCCCCGTCTCCGAGCATCGTCACTTTTTTTACCACGCGTGTAAATAAAATTTACACGTGTGTAAAAAATTGTAGAATTTTACACGCGTGTTTTTTCATTTGTTAACAAATTTGTTAAGGAAAATTTCGGAATTTACACGCGTGTAAAAAAAAATACACGCGTGTATTTTTTTTACACGCGTGTGTAAAAAATTTACACGTGTGGTAAAATTTCAGGCGTGTAATTTTGATCTGGGTACCAGCCCAGATAACACATCTCGCGCACACGCGGTTTTTTGCAGTGCTCTGCAAATGTGTTTTTGATAAATATCAGGTTCACATTCCCTTCACATGCTGTTTTCCACCGCGCGCAAGGCCTCAAATCGTTCTTGAAACAGCGCAAAACGTAGTTAATATCCCAATATCTTTTATTACAGCCTTACCGCGCTGTGTAAAAGTGTAGGAGGTGTGCAAAATCCCTCTAATGTACCCACTACACAAAATCCTCGCCTGCAATTTTGTTTTCGCCAACTTGGACCAGTTCCCATTTCTTCACCTCGAGAAAGCAAAGAGATATCTACCCAAATCAGCGGGCGCTGACCCGGTGAAATTGGGGATATATTCCGAGGGGGGATAAGTGGCCGGAACGGGGGCAATGGGGGATTTTTGAAATAGAGAGGGATTTTCCAGTAAACAGGGAAAAATAGAAAGTTTCTATTAAAAATAACTTTTAGGCGCTTGCGCGTGATCGGGGGGGCATTAGAAAAGAAAGGTGGGTGGAAATTTTAGGTTCTTTGGCATTATCAGGTGGACCGAAGGCTTACCAATATGCCTAGTAACTAAACGTACTATAAACCTATAATAAAAATACTAAGTCGAAAACCCCTCTTCAGTAATTTTTTGAGTCCCTTCTTGGCTATATTGGCAGAGACGACGGACAGGGATTATTTAGTAACTATGAAAACAAACTCAGAAATAAGAATACGAAATTTTGGACGCAACTGGCCACTTCATGTCGAAAAAATATAATTTTTCTAGTGTTCCAATCAAATCATAGAATCAGAGTTGTAGGCCTGAAAATAAAGGCCAAAAGTATACGAATACGTTACCAATTTGTATTCTAGCTCTCGGAACCAGCTAGGTCTACTATCTAAGCCTAGATATTTGTCTTTCAATATTTTGTGGTTTCTGATATTACATCATAAATATCACGTAGATCACCTTTCATAATGCCTCTTTACTAAAGCAAGAATGGCACAGATTCGGGGGTTTGTTGAACGGATATACACAGCATGGGGGGCACGACAACGTTTCACAAAATACACAAAATTGCAAAGAAAACGGGTGCGCAGACGGGGGAATCACCGAAATCGGGGTGGAGGGTACAGAGGACAGAAAAGGCGACACTTTGGTCAAACAAATTCCAAATACAAGGGTACAGAACGGAATCAGGAGAGTTGAGCAGATGAGTGTATGTGTGTGGGTGGGTGGGCGAGGGTTGCGAAAAACGACGGCGTGATAAAGTGAACGGCACCCAGGGCGAAAAATTTAAGGGCATGTAGAGCCAGAAGCTTCAAAAATAAAGCTTCGGCCCCTACAGGCCCCTAAAAAACGTTTAAAATTCCACAAAAAGGAGGGTACGGCAAGTGTTGGGAAGCGGAAGTAGGTAGTCGGTGGTGCAAATCGAAGCCGGAAAAAGCGAAACGAGTTGAATCTGGATATCACAAACCGAATAAATAGGTTCTTTTCAGGCACGTACGTAGAAATCTGGGGGGAACAGGGCATATAAGAGAAAACCGGAAAAAGACAGTTATCGCTGGGCCGGCCGGCCCAGGCACAGCTTCTCCGTGTCCGAGCTGAAGATGGCGTGCGTCGTGTAGTGCCGGATGAGGTCGTGCATGTTGTTGAACGTTCGCTGCCCGATTTTCAGCTGGCCCATCGTGTTCGTCACCTGAAATGAACCTTTTAGAGGCCAAAACCCGAAAACAACCCCGAGAATTGATGGAAATTTTTGGTAAAAATCTATTCCAAAACTTTTGGTAAAATACGAAATAGATAAATAGTATTTCAAAATACGATTGAAATATCACCCATAGACTAGTTAACGAAGCAAGAGTAACTTTATTTTTGGTAATAATGAAAATTTGCGGTGTGATTTGGCTCATTCGACATAGCTTGAAACTATGAATTCAAAAGATAATGAAAAAATCCGCCCTGAAAAACTCCCAATTTTCTTAATTTGCAGCTTGTCTAACAAAACGTAAAATTTGTGAAAAGTTTTGCGGGGCCGCTATCGTCCAGCAATTTTTTAAGCAATTTTAAAAATTTAAGCCCGGAAATGGGCCATATCACACCGCAAAACTCCATTAGCACCTATAAACGACACAGCAACACGCCATAAAACCTACCTTAAAATGCTTGAACCGCTCGACGCCCTTCATCGAAATCGACAAGTCGCCGGGCTAAAAGAAACGAATATAAATAACGCATAAAAATAAATACCTTGCTCTCCGAATCCCTGACAAGATAGTCGCCCTCCTGGCCACGTTCCAACGCCCTTTCGGCCTGCTCGCGGGTGATGCGGCCGAAGAACCACGGCTCGGTGCTGTAGTCGCCGGAATGTGGAGACGGAGGGGCAGCCTGATAGCCACCGGGCACATGTCCGTTGAAGCCGGCGTTGGCGATGGGAATGTTGGCCGACTGGCCATTGTAGGGGACAGGGGCCGGAGCGGGGGCTGGGGCAGAAGAAGCGGTTTGTCCACCCTGGATCACCTAAAAAAGGCGTTTCTTAGTTTCGATCGGGAAATCAACCTTGATGTAATTTCTGGGAACAAGTCCGCAGGCTCCAGAGGCATTGCGAGCCGTCCACCACTCAGGATCATCGGCCGGGTGTCCGACGATGTCGAGTTGTTCGCCTGGAATGGTTTTATTTGTATCGAACCATAAAACTAAATAGATTAGATTGCACCTAAAACCCTGGATTAAAAAATCGGGGGCTAAAGCTATAAAGGATCAGTTTATGGGGCGCTCGGCACCTGGTAAGATAAAATAACCTATTACCTCGTAATATATTTCCTTTTTTAGCTGATCCTAAGTGAAAAAAATCCGACTAATTCGATTATGCCCTTTCATATGCCCTCCAAAAAGGAGAAAAACGGCATAAAAATGGAAAACACAGATCCGAAAAATGGTATCCGACTCCAAAAAAGAGCCGACGGTCCGTTAATTTGGGTGTTTTTTTGCTCCATAATCGGACCTAACCATGTAGCAATTTTATTATAGAGTTTCTATAAAACTTTCCAATTTAAAGCATTTTCTGCATAAAAAAAGTTCCCTGGTCTTTGCCAAAATAACCCAGCCAAAAGCAGGCTGGAAAATTCGTTGAATACGAAATTTCACGGCAGAGACCACAAGTTAACCCAAACACACCTTTGCGGAAAGACAGCTCCTCGTGATTCGAGGCGTCGAAAGAGTAGAGGGCCAGCACAACCTCGAGCACCGGCCGGGTATCAGCACGGGCAGCTTGTGGCCGCGCATTCTCGGAGACCCCATTTCCATTTGTGGCCGGCGATTCGTTTTCTTCTTCGACGTAGTTCGACGGGAACCAGCCCGTTTCACCGTTTGCCTGAAACCAGGGAGCTAAAAAGGCATTGGGACCTTTTAAAGAATACAAAATTTTTCAATCAATCTAAAGAGCTGTTTTCGGGCCAAAAATAACGTCGCGCAAGGTTTGATTAAAAGCCATAACCGAAACAAGCTTCTCACCTCTCCCTTCCACCATCCATCGCTGCTCCGCTCCAAAACTAGAATAGTTTCGCCCTTGCGCAGCGCCAGCTCGTCGTCCATCCGCGGCTCGTACGCATATTTCACCACTGCCCGCGACATTGTACCACTCTAAAAGGAACATAATTAAAACATGAGTTTCTCGAACCTTGAAGCCCGGCGCTGCCCCGTTGTAGTTATGGCCGTTCGCTTGATTGTTGTTGGAGAGCAGAATCCGCCTATCCTCACCGGAGAAGGCCGCCGGCGCGTCTTCCTGCAAAAGTGTCGTTTAAAAAAGGTACATAAGGAAACAAAAACAACAAAAAAAGATGCGTTTTTCCTTATAGGAATTGACGATAGGCAAAAAAGCAAGAGGAGATAAGCGCTTGAATCACGATCTGGACGTTGTAAAACCGCTATTTTGAAAGATGCGCTAATATTTAGGTAAAACAACGGCGAGAAACGGTAGGCATAGGTTCAAATATACGGAAGATGACGGGCCCAATTGAGAAAACTACCAAAATTTAGTTTAATAACCAAATTTGATCAAGAGGTGGTATTTTTGACAAATCGCAGCATGAAAAAAGCAACTTGAGCTGCGCATTTGCGTAATTAAATTGCCGGCGCCCGGCCCACGCAAGAGGGCGAAAAAGTAGAGGCGAAGGCGGCATTGGGATCAATACTGCAACGGCTACGAGTGGGAATGCAAGGAGAGCCAGTCACCTTTTGCCCCCCGTCCAATGACAAACAATACCCGAAGAACGGCTTTTGCCCGTGCCACAATCGTTGGCCTTTAGCTAACGAATCAAACGGCTTCTTACGAGAATCAGAAAAAAGTACACTGATACAATTTTTCCAAAAAGGAAAAACGGGTGGGCAGCGCCATTTTTGATAGTTTCAAAGACGAGAATCGGCGAGCAAAAAAGTTCGGAAGATTTTTTTCACAATTTTTGGTATTTGTTTACGGAATTGGTTCCGAAAAGAAGAAAAAATAATAAAAATGATCTTTCGAATTCTGCCCAAAATCGGAAAATCACTACGGAAAGCTCCTATGACGAACCGTTCCGTACAAAGTAGCCACGCGGAACCTGAAAAGGCTTGTCGGGTTTTCGTTTTTTATACTTTTTTACTAAAATTGGTTAAAGTTGCATGAAAAACTTTTGTAGAACATAAATTGATCTAATAGAGCGTTTTTTCATCAATTAGAGTAAATTTAAAGTAATAAAATGTATAGAACGGCTGAAAAAATTCGAACGCCCGAATCGATCAATCGAAAACCGAGCCCCGTTAAATTCTATCAAGTGTGTTGGAATGGAGGAGGTTATATGTTGGGTAAATACGAGAAGAGGGGCAAAGGGTTGAGCTGGGGGTGTTGGTTGGTCCGAGCCGCGGGGTGGCGATAAGGCGAAATGGCGGACCGGTCCTGTCCTGCCCTCAACCCCCCACACACACGACGGCATACATTTCGGAATAAGCTGCCGGGCAAAAGAAATGGCGAAGAATAAGAAGAAGTTGGCGAGTAGACTGGTTACTTCTTGCAAGGGCTGTGCTCCCGCGACAAAAGCGCCCTTTTCAGCAAATTTTTGCTAGTGGGGTCGCGTTTTCTCGTCTAGCACAGCTTTAAAAAAAAAGCCATTGTAGAGGTTTGCAGCGGTAATAAAGTTGTTCATACTGCCTTTCAAACGCAGTTATCGTTTTTGATGGTTTATTAGGGCCAGAATAGGTTTTTGGGATTAGAAAAAGCAAGTCGCCTGCAAATTTTTCTAAAAAGCTCAAGAAGCGTAGTTCTTGTGAAAATCAAGAAGCGTAGGAGGGCGAAATTGTCGGATTTTCTTGCTTCGTTTGTAAAATCGATTTTTTTTTTGGTGAAACAATGCGGACCGGAAGCGCGCGCGTGAGATTCTTGCAGGATCAAGGTGGCCAGGAAAACCAGAAATAAGTTAAAATTTCGGCACAGAAGCTTTTTTATAATAATAGGAAGTTATATTAGGGCAATAATCGAAAAAGGGGAATGCAAAAACGAAAACATGACCAAATTTTGAAGCTATGTCGCCGAAACCATAAGAAATCCATATTTTTGGCGTAGGGGCCACAGTATAATAATCAAAGTGTTAAGACCGTTTTAAAATCATAAAAACAAAAATATGTAGTCATTCTTTCAAGCTTTAGTTGGAATGAGGTGTTGATTGGCTGGTGAATGGCAATCGGGGGCCTGGCTGGAGATAAGAAAATCACTTCGCTGGCCGTTTAGCCGCGCCAGAAAAAAAGTTGGCCGCCACGGATTTATGAAATTTACGATGTAGAACTTTCCGGAATTCAAATAATATGGCTTAATTTACGATTTTTTTTGGTTTTTGGGCGTTTCAGGCGAAAGATCAATGCCGGAATATGGTGCAGGGTGGTGTGGGGCGGGAATCGCGCGCTGGATTGGGCTCCGATTTGTGTGGTCAGTTTGTTTGGCCGGTCATTTTAGGGGGTCCCAGCGCGGGAAAGGAGGCTTCGCCCACCCCGCGGGGGTGTCAGATTCAGGCGCGCCAGCATCACGCAGATACACGAGGAGATCAAATGAAAAAGCGATCTTGCGATCAGGCTAAAGCCAAGATCAAGCGCATCGAGTTTTGCTCTACTTGTTTCTTCGTCTTCTTATTATTTTTACTATCCGGGCCAGAAATAGTCGAGAAATTAGAGAAAACACGAGAAGCAGAGACGTTATAAACTACCAAAAAAAATACTACGCTTGCGTATATTGTTTTAAGGCGGAAACTACGCTTGGCTCCATTCGAAATAGCTACGGTCTGGGGCGCATTTCAGATCGTCATCTGGAGCGTAGGGGGAACTTTTAAAGGAAAAAAAGAGGTAATTAGAATGATCAATGCGTAAAAGGCGTCAGATCAGAGGGGTATATTGGCGCGACGTGAAACTACCACGAGCTCCTGCGAGCGTACTGACGTTTGCGAATGTAGTTTTTTTTGGTAATTCACACCTTATTTGAAGCAAAAAAGCAAAAACACTCGAATTAAAAACCTTGATACTTTTTATGAACTCACCGGTGAGAAGTCACTTTTGCTGCGTCCTCTGACCAGCCCCTTCATCGTGCCCATCGCCTTATCCACGAAAGATTCTCGTCGGACGTAATTCGACGGGACGAACCCGACGCGATTCGTGTCGTTGACCACCTAGACGGCGTTTTTTTTTAAATCTAGGGCTTTGTAAATTTTTTCCTGTCGTTTTCAGGTGGGCAAATTCCTGCTTTTATAAACACAAACCTTCCACCAATTCTTGGTGTCATCAATCAACCTCAACCGCTCATTCTTCTTTATCGTCAATTCCTGGTCTTCTTGCGCTAGATAGTCATATTTAACGACGACGTATACATCTTCTGCCGCCATTGGGCGGAGCGCCCCTAGAATTAGGCTTTGATTCGATGGTTTTTTAATTTTTAAGCATATGAAGGTATAGAAAGTATGATAGTAAAAATAAAGTGGAGGTAGAGAGTTATTAAAGTAATGCTCGGACACCTATTTAACAAGCTACATTATTTCCATTATTCCTTAAATTTCTGATTTCTGATTTAATAGAGTATGTTAAAAACAAGTCGATGCCAGAACGGAATGAAGTATAGAAGGTAGTCAAAAACAAGAAACTCTCATTTTTTGCGAAGATTAAAGACCAGGCGCTTATTTAACGGCCTACGCTCGAAAAAATTAAGTCAGGTTGGATTTTTCTTTGAGGTATTAATGCCCAGATACCTTTTTATAGGCTCAAAAATAGAAAAAATAGAAGAAATAGGATACCTATTTTATAGGCTACAACTCGATGGAATCAGGAGAGCATGATGAATATAACAATATGCACTAGAGGGGTGCCCTCAGAAATCCCGGCCAAGGGTAATCCGGGTAATGAAGCGTGGAGCCCGCGGCGTGTCGATAGGAAAGGAGCGGAATTCGGCTCTGCTGCCAACTTTTACACACCGGAACCACGGCACTTCCACACTCGCACCCTCTCTCTCTTCTCTCTCTCTCTCTCTCTCTCTCTCTCCTCGCCGGCTACTTCCACCCGTCCATGGCCCCGCAGCGATCCATACTCATTACGGGGCGTCGAGCAGGCGCCTCTAGGCTCGCAAAAAAGAAACATATGCATCGAGCAGGGGTTCGGATAGGGCGATTGAATTCCGGAAGGGCGATTACGCGATGAAATTCGAGGTGACAATAGGGCTTTCAACGGCTCGAGCAATTGAAAATGAATTTTGACGACAGCAGGAATGAAAAATTTTGAATGCGGCAATTACGCTATGAAGTTCTGTGCCGTAATCAGGGTTTTAAAGCGATTGGTAATGTTAGGAAATTAGCTTTGGCACATCAGAAGCTTAAAAAACGAAGCCTCGCCATTACGCCACCACAAGGTCTTCAAGGGCTTGACAAGGCTAGAAAATTGATTTTGATACCCGAAAATTGGAAAAATTATAGTTAGCAAATTTACACTAAGGAATTCAAAGCGGAAAAAACTTTTTAAAGGACTTGAAATTTGGAAAAAAACAAAATCCTCGCTATCACGACATGAAATTCAGCTCAAAATGGTGCGTCTGACAGAATCAAATTATGGTCCCTCATTCCGCCATATAATTACGCTAGTATAATTCCTTAAAAATCGTCGTTTCTAAGGCTTTTGACCTGCTTAAGACCTCCAAAACCAAGCGAGCACCAAAAATTCAGAAAATTCCGCTCTAAAAAGCGCCAGAGGCCGCCCAGGGGGCCAAAACAATATACCGTCGCCCCCGGGGCCAGAATAACAATCGAAAAAGTTGGCCTGGCCGCGGAAAAAAACCGGCCATTATTCCGGCGGGCTGGGCCGGAATAATAAGCGGTAGGGCACGGTGGAAGTGAGGAAGGCGTTAATGAGAATGAAGAGAGCTAGAGAAAAGGAAACTGTGAAGGCAAGCTTTTAGCGGAATTACGGTTTTTCTTGCAAAGTCTGAACAATATGCAGAATTATATAATTGAGTTTCATGACGCCGATAAGTCTCGGATTGATGGTAAAAAGCAAAAATCGGAACCTTCTGATGCTAGAATACCTGTAACACATATATAAAAAAATATTCTTTTTAACACTTTGCAAAAACCCGGGTTCCAGCCATAACTCGAAGGGAAGAATTTTTTGGTCCAGAAATAAGGTAGTTAGGGGTATCGAGGCGTAGATTACTGCACGCTTATCAGATTTTACTAAAATTTTGTTTTATACCTTATTTTAACGTTTTAAAAACATATGAAATAGACTAATTTGCATACGAGGCGCTAGAGCCCCATTTTCTTTTTCGCCTCGAGGCCGGTTGCTTTTGCTATTTTTAGGTTCGCTCTAGCTCCGCCCGAATTATACAGCCCAACTTTTAAAGATCCCCAAGGCAGGGTGGCCGCGTAGCGGCTTTTCAACCCTGGTTAGCAGTTTAAAAGAACTGGAAAGCCAAAAATCCAATCGAATCTCCAGGTTTTAGCAAAATGCGAAAATTCTAAACACGCGAGTTTTTCTAACAAAATAAGGGCAAATACGCCTAGAAAATAGGAATATCAAAAATCTGGTTAACCGCCAAAGTCCATCTCCACTATTTTTACCCTTCAAAGTCCCTTTAATGAGTCAAATTTCCACAGGGCGCCAAATGACGGGTAGGGCGTTTGAACGGAACAGCTGTTTTCGTACTCTAGACTAGTCATTGGCCGGGATAGAAGGAGAGAAGGGTTTGTATGTGAGGAGGACAACCGCTTTGCCCTCAAAAGCCCCCTTCCTCTCCCCTGAAGGCTTCTCGGCTTCTTTTGCCGCTCTCAAAAACGGGCTTTTTCGAAGGAAATGGCCGGGAGGAAGAGGAGGGCCGTAGAGCAGCATGCGTAATCCTTTCGGACCTCGCGGGTGGAATTGGGTATGCTAACGTAATCTAGCGTAGCGTAGCGGAATATTGAGGGTGGAATTGTGCGTTTTAAAGGGACAGAGAAGCCAATAATTAGCATTATGCCAACCTTTCCTTCGAAGTCAATTTTTTCACGGGGTGGAATTGGGTATGCTAACGGAATTTAACGGTATCTAGCGTAATGTAGCCGAATGCTTAGGGTCAAATTTGGGTTTCTAAAGGAATTGTTTAAAGGGACTGGGACGCTTGAAACTAGCATTCTGGTTTTTCAGCCCGGAGGCGGAATTGCGGTTTTAACGGAGTCAAAAAATTAGGAAATACCGGCCGGAGCTTTTGCATTATCGGGGGAGCAAGACTCACAAGTTTCAAAAAAGAGAACAAATATACGAGGCTGAAAACGATTTATGAAAAGCTCATCAAACCGCAAAAACGACAGGAAGCTTCTAAACTAGGATTTCTACATATTTAAAGCTTGCGAAATAGCTAAAATTTCTTCCCTTTTGCAATAATTACCAATTGCCCTTCAATTTTGCAAATTCCGGCCCAAAAATTGGATTACCCACCCAGTTGCGGGGGTAGTAAAGCAGTGTGGATGTGTGCCCTCGGGCCGTTTCGAGAAGATCGGCCCGGAACGGCCGTGGTGGGAATGCGTGTGTCTCCCCCTGGGGACTCACCACCAATCCTTTTTATCCACCCTCCTAGCACTCTCTCTCTCTCTCTCTCTCTCTCTCTCTCTCTCTCTCTTTTCTCTATCGCTTCTCTCTCCTCTTCCTCTTGGGAGGCATTCTTCGACCAAAAAAGTGATTTACACCTCCTTTTTTTACCGCCTCCTTTTTTCCTATTCGGGCTAGAAACCGTTGGGATAGCCTCGGGACTGGGATTTCCACATTTTTGGCGGGTTTCCAAGAATCTACGTGCCTTTTTATCTATATCTCTCTCACTCACTCACTCTCTCCTTCTTTCTCGCTCTCTCACCGACTCACTCTCTATCGGTCGCTCTCCCTCTCTTTTTCCCTCGCCTGCAGACTCGGGTTTAGGCTTTCTGGCAGGTTTCCAAGATGTAGGGAATTTTAAAGGAACCCTGAAGGCAAATCTAGAAGCTCGATAAGAGCAAAAAAACTCAAGATCCTTCTTTGGGTCCCGCCACGATTCCAATAAAGACACCAAAATGACACCCGCCTGAGGCTTCATCCCCGGAGCATCGCGTGCAAAAAGGAAATTACGGAATTGCGCCTCCCAAAAACCAGGGAATCGGATGTGAGGAACCGATTTTTGGCGTGAGTCCTGGATGCTGGCCAAAATGAGAAATAGGAAATTTCTTTGGACGACGCTGAATTTGCGAGAGAAGCGTGTAAGTTGGAATCTGTGGGCAACTTTGTTATGCATTGAGGGAAGGAGAGGGAGAGAGAGAGAAAGAGAGGGAAGAAGGAGAGAGAGAGAGAGAGAGAGAGAGAGAGAGAGAGAGAGAGAGAAATGCCTCTGCCTAAGACTCTGCATAAGCTAAAGCCGAAGCTTAAGCCCGGATCCGGACGCGTCCGTCCGGGTTCGGACGCGTCCGGACCCGTCCGCAATTTGCATACGGGTCCGGACCCGTCCGGACGCGGACGGACGCGGACGGACTTTCGATCATCATGACCAACCCTGGTGGCAAGCTCGCAGAGACGATTTGGGAATCCTACCTATCTGACTGGTGTTGGCAGCCTAGCAGAGATTTTTTAGTAAATCGGCAGTGGCAGGCTAGCAGGATTCCCATTCGTCCCAGGAATGGGAATAATGGAAATCGAACAACAACTCCAACCAGTTCGAAATCTTCGTGATCGTGACCAGTATTTTGTTGACTCTATGCGCATAATGAAAACGGGTCGATGTGTTGTAGATGACCCGAAAAAAGTGTCTACACCCCAGGAAAGTGTAGGGGAAGGGGATTAGATCTTATTCGGGATCGTTCGGGACCGCCGCCCAGCTGATGTTGCTTGTAGATAATGCATACAACAAGAACGAGTGGATTTGAGGTGGTGTTGAAAAATAATGGATTTAAAGCGCACGTTCAGGGACGTATATTTATGGTGAACGTATACTTCCTATTGACGCCGAGGGACTGGGAAAAGAGGGAGACGCAGGTGTCAATAGGAAGTATACGTTCAACGTGCCTGAACGTGCGCTTTAAAGATCTTTAAAGAATTCACTCCAAGAAACGTCTAGGTCTCGACAGCGACCTGCAACCTCAAAAGACATGTCAAGGCTCTAGGCTGATTTTGGAAAAAAATCGGTTTAAATGGTCTGGAAAAGCGAAAATCGCCCCCGTAGAAATCGTTGGGTCTCGACAGCTTTGTGTCAACGCTAAAAAATCGAAATATATCTTCTTCGAGGTGCCTTTAATGGATTAGGAAATGAAAAATCGACCCCTACCTTCGACTAGGTCTAGATGACTACGATGCATTCCAAATGCCGGTTCCAAAAGGGCCAAAAACCCGTGCAAAACTAAATCAAAGC